TCTTCTTTCAAACTGTCAATTCTTCAAGTCAAAAAGTGAATGTAAATGCAGCATCATTTGCCCCTGGTCTCTCAGAGGCATCACACCCCACTGCTGTCTCCCCCACTGCTGTCTCCCCCACCTGTGACATTGATGATATAATTCGGCCTCATCTCTGAAGCCTAAACTTCCGTGATATAAAAGGTATCTTTAGAGAAATAGTTATCTGGTTAACGATAGCCGGTTGTTAGCGATGCTCACCTACCTGATTTAATCAGGGGACCAGAACGACGACGACTAAGTCACTGAAACCTCCTCCCCTGATGTTGATGCCCTCATGTCAACATTAGCATTAGCACTGAGCCAGTGACTGCTGCGGTGTGACTGTACAGTGTGACACCACAGCTATTGTTTGGCCTCTGTCTCCCAGACCGTTCTGGAAAAGTGCACCAGGAAGCTAATGCTAAGCTAATGCTAGTTGGTCAAGTTAGCAGTGGTTGGTTTTAGAGGAAAACAATGGTCAAGCAGTGGTTGGTTTTAGAGGAAAACAACACCTGGTTTTATATTTAAAAAGCAGTGAATAAAATAACATGTTGTTATTTTGAATCACATTTTGCCTGAATTTTTGGAAACAGATTTTTGTCTGATTTTAAAAATGTTCTTTTAACCCTTCAAAATAATCTTAGGATGTTTTTTAAAAATTGCAACAACTTTTGCCACTTAATGTAGATACAGACCTGTCACAAAATGATGCATAAACACCTTTTTTATTTTAATTATGACTCAAAAAACCTTGTCTACGAAGTTTTCTGTTTGGTTATAAGGTGAGGAAGTAAATGATAAAAAACAACATCATGTTTGAGCTTTACCATGAAAACTGGTGCCAACAAAGACAGGAAATACCAGGATCTAAGTTTATCACCTCCAACATCAGCACATGGTCATTTAAAGGCCACGGGAGCAGAACCTGCTGTGGATCAAACAAGATGAACTTTAGGATTAATTCTCTGTAAAGAATCTACAGAAGCCGACGTTGAATTTCAGTTGGAATTTCATCAGGGAGGAATTTAAAGCTGAAAAATATTGACCTCAGTTGTGGCCTGTGTCAATATTGACTTCAAGGAGATCCGAGAGTCACGAAACCTCCAGACTGACAGTGACAAAACCAAACGTCTCAGAGCCAGTACAGTCATGCACACACTCATACTGACAATAAAGATCATACTGACGGTAAAGATCTAAGAATAGTAAACAGTGAGTCAACAGCTTGGTTACGTCCACCAGCAGCTCTCCAGTTTGACAGAGACGTCCACTGGGTGGTGTGTATGTAAGGAATGTTAAGTCCACACACACACACACACACACAGAGAGAGAGAGAGAGAGTTGTGTAACATCAGCTTAATCCGTTGCTGAGCAATTGGTGGATACAGAGAATTGTTTTAACAGGAACATTATTTAGAAATGATGAATGAATGAATTTACTGTCTAATAATATGATGTCATTCAAGTCAATTCAAAGTTTCACCTTCTAGTGTTTCTCCAACCTTTGTTGAGCCACGACACACATATATCATCAAGAAAACCCTAATAATCTTCTAGATGAAATGACCTCATCAGTGACTCAAACCTCCGTCTGTTTAGTTGAAGACAACACTGATAAACTGGCAGGAATTGAAGAAAGACACTCACAGAGATCTTCTTCAACACAACTGATTATCTTTTTTTATAGCTTTCACAACCCTCTGCTGCCCCCTAGCAGAAGATTAAACTGTTCTCTTGGATAATTGTCTGCGATCAGTCCACTGTAGCTCCACACACACACACACACACACACAAATAATACAAACCATCACCTGTTTTCCCGCCTCCTCCCACTGACGTCACAGACATGACGTCACACCTCTGTCCACGACGGTGGTCAAAACAAATGAACTACTGACAGAGAAAAGAGCCACTGACACACGTCACTGGTGATAGGCCTACCATGATAAAAGGTTCCACCTGTCAAAACACTACTGTTTCACACACACACACACACACACACACACACACACATACTGTACATACAGTCCAGCTTCATAACTCAGAGCCCTTTCAGAGAAGGAAACTCCAAAGGGAGTAACATCCTGTGAGGAGGGCGGGTCAGGAAGAGACTCGTGTAGTTCATGGCTACGTTGACTCACTGGAACAACCACACACACACACACACACACACACACACACACACACACTGGGCAGCCACGCTTGTTCATTTCCAGGAAACAGTTACGGAGTCTGAGAAAGGATCAGAGTCTGAAGAGACTGAAGTTCAAACGTACTTTGATTCTTTGAAAACTTCTACAGTTGAACCTCGAGATACGAGTGCGTGAGTAAATATGAGCGTGGAGCCCCTGGTGGAGTGATGGAGCACGCACGTACGATCGCAGTACATCCACGATACGTACCATCCTAAAGTTCAAATAAAAGTGAAGTTCATTCTGAGGCGCTCTCTGGATACTTTGGTTTGGTTTCCTCCCCAATCCATAAACCGCAATTAGGTGAGTGGGTTTTAATGGCTGGCTACGATTGGCTAGGCAGCTAGGATTAGCTCCACCCCCAACCACACTGAGAATGCGGTAGAAGAGGAAAGAATGAACTGTCAATCATCTGGAGTTTTAACAAACATTCATTTGTTTGTTTTTTTGGTAACAAAAAAAGTTTGAAGAAAATTTGTGAGCAATCATTTCTATTTGTGACGTGACATTGTGTGGTTATTTTTTTATGTACACAGCATTTAACCCAAACTCTTTCTGGACAATAATTCCATGAAATAATAATAATAATAATAATTGTCAAACTCCAATCTCAACCTGATAGAATCATATATGTGTGCTACATATATAGTACAACACAGTCAAAAATACAGGTATTAGTGCAGTTCTGCAGTAAAGTTCCCTATGTCACTTGATCACATGACACTTCCTGAAGTAAGTCACATGACCTACTTCTACTTCTTGAACGTTTAAATAACTGTTATATCATAACAAAGATCTTTTATGACATTAACGGACATTTATTTTTGATAAATCGATGAGATTGATCGTTCATTTCTACTTTAGTTCCTTCTTCGTCTTCATCTTCTTGACTGTTGTTATGGTAATGACAAACATTCAGTTGTATTTTAACATTAACCCCGTTAGTCTGTTACAGCTGCGTCTTTCATCAATCACTGGCAGCAGCAGCAACAGCAGCAGCAACAGCAACAACCGCAGCAGCAACAGCAGCACCCGCAGCAGCAACAGCACGAGCATTACAACAAGCAGCAACAGCAGCAGCAACAGCAGCACCCGCAGCAGCAACAGCAGCAGCAACAGCAGCACCCGCAGCAGCAACAGCAGCACCCGCAGCAGCAACAGCAGCAGCAACAGCAGCAACAACAACTCAGTTCACTCTGTGTCTGAATGTTTTGTGAGGAATACCTTCATAACAGAATCATCTGAAGATGACACACACACACACACACACACACACACACACACACACACACACACACAGGCACAGGCGGGGGAGAGCAGTGACCTCTGCTGGTCCATTCTTTATAACTAACTAAGCTGTTCATCCTGAGTTAATGGTTAGAGGAGAGCGTCCTCTGTGTCAAACACCACTCCACTCCTTCATACCTCCATATCCACTGTACATGGTAGCAGCTGGGGCTGAGGTCAAGTCCTACTGAGTCCAGATCCACCCAAGTCCAGAAAAAAGTCCGTCAGGGTTTAGTCGGTCAACGGGGCTGCTGAACGCTCTGATGTCTCACTTCCTTTTCCACCCTGGCCGTCTGAACCTCCTGACGGTGGGAAGAATAACGCGGTCGCTCCACTTTCCTCTCTATCTAACCAGATCCATTCACTTTTTCTCTCCACTGTCACATTTGATAAGACGGCGTCCACTTTCTCACTAATGCCCTCACCCTGCCACACTGATAAGAAACAGGGGGTGGGGGGGGGGGGGAAAAAGCGAGGCGGTCTTCTCTTCTTCCCTGCTGACATCACTGGTTTTTCCTGCCCTCCCTATTGTCTCTGCCCCCCCCCACTCCCCCACCTGCTCACACAAACACAAGTCTTTACCCGACATCCTCCCTTCAACAATATCCACACGACCGTTTCACCAAAATACAGGAAGTGACAGAAACAGCATGGCTTCAGTGTCAGACACTTGTCAAATCATTGACATCACATTTGAACATTGAAAAACAACCTGCAGGAGTAATACTACGTCGTACTAATACTACGTCGTACTAATACTCTGTCGTACTAATACTACATCATTTGTTTGTATCTGTCTACGTCGGGGGGGGTCAAACTCATTTTCACCGGGGGCCACATCAGTAACACAGTTCCTCTTGATCCAAAATATTACAAAAAACCAAAGTGTTCTGTCCAATCATAGCAGAGATATTTAAAGAGATGAGAAATAATGGGCCACATGATGAAGAAGAAGAGGAAGAAGAGGAAGAAGAGGATTATGTACAAAGGGCAGAAAATTGAACATCAACATTTATGTACTTTACTTATATTCCCATATATATATGTACATACACACACATGTGTTTATGTACATATGAAGTGACCCACGGTTTCTAACGTCTCATGTGTTAGAAATGTTCAATAACATTATCAGCTCCAGGCCTCAGTGTTGACTTTCCCACAATCATCTACCAGCAACATGTGGGTCTAATACTGCTTTATACACTGTATATATAGGTATAGATTTAGTCCAAAGGTGCAGAGAGGGAGGTCTGGTCCAAAAGCCTTTTGGATCTTCTGTATTTGAGTCGATGAAATCTATATATAATTGAATTCAATCCATATAATGTGATAATTTGTCGACTGAAAATAAAATAAAATTAAATCAGTTTCACTGAGTTAAAGACTAATCAACGTTTCTCTTTTTAAATATAAACACTGCTCTTTGTTACTGAAGCTTAAATATGTTTTAAACTGGGCGGAGATCAGTGACCTTTGACCTTCTATTAGGACAGGAACAACGTGTCGGTGTTTATCAGAGAACATTCAGACAAATTAAATGCACAGAGGTGGAGCACACACTCACTGACAAAGTCTTCAGAGCTGCTCTGTTTGTCTGTTCTGTCTGTCGTCCCCTGAGAAACTCCAATCTACTTTTTAACAAGGTCAGTGGTTCTGTATGAAAATCAAATATCCAGCTCCAGTTTCTTTAAATACCATCCGGGGTCAGACTTTTATTGGGCCACACTTCAGACTCTTCAGATTTGTGGATCCTTCAACCCAAATGTCATCCAGTGTGTGTGAGATTAATAACTTTTTAAGAAAAGGCTCCAGGAGAGGACGGACGGAAACCCTGAGGATATCAAACTCACCAAAAGGTCAGCTTTACAGAAAAAAACCCCAAAAAACCTCAATTCTATTTTTATTAGAGTAGTAATAACTCTGCTTAAATCTGCTGACTCGGCAGATTCCACTGTGTCGTCCTTGATAGAAACGATCACTGCACTCACTGCAGCGGGTGGACGTCACAGGAGGATACAATATAAGATCATAGACTAGGATATACAGTACGGTACAGTACAGTACGGTACGGTACAGTACAGTACGGTACGTCTCCAGAGAACTAACACCAGCTACGCCAACCATCGGCAAGGAGCAGAGAAAGGTGAATGTGGCCGTCTTTAAAAGTACACTTTTATTTCAAAACTATGTTAAATGTCAATGGAAGAAGTCGTGGGTTAGGCTAAAAAACCAGAACAGTACAGAACAGTACAGAACAGAACAGTACGTCTCCAGAGAACTACAGTTAGGCTAAAGATTCGGTGCCACAGTTAGCCATGCTAACTGCTAACCTAAGGCTAAGGCACTGTTAAAGAGTTCACCCTAATGCATAAAGAATGGAAACATCGTGAATGGTGATAAATATAAAACAATATTCAAATACACAGTTCTGTTATGAACAGACAGACGCCAGTGAATTAAAAGAACAGTAGGTGGCACTGTGGAGCACAAACACTCACCGGTGAAACACAAGTGGTGAACAACACAACAGAGATTGAAGGAAAAACTACGACTAACAACTGGAGAGCCTCAGATTAAACACACGTCACATGACCATCCTGTGTCAACAGGAAGGACGACTTTCCACTGACACGTCTTTCCAATCACAGTTTTCACTTTTGTCTCCACATAAAATCATTGTCTTTTTTAGAAGAATTTCTTCTTTGTAGAATTCTGAGACGTCTCTCAGAGCAGGTCACGATCAAAGACTGAAACCTACAAAGATCTACTTCCTCTCACATTATCTCCCAGTTTAAGGAAAAGAAAAAAGAAAAACAGTTGGATCACCACCGTGTCGAGTTTAATTTAAAAATGTGTGTTTGACTGATGTCAAAATGATTTTTTTTTTACTAACCTAGTCAAATAAAGGCTAACAGCACTAGAAAAAAAAATCAATTTTTTTTTCTGCTGGTTTTTTTGAAGCAAAACAATCTTTTTCAATCAGACCAGAAGTGGATAAAGGTGAAATCATTATTAAAATGATGGTTTTAATTGATACACTAAATTGTATATTGGTTGAAGGTCTGAAGAAGAGACTGTTACAGGTTGACCAACATCTCCACAACAAAACAACTCTTTAATCTGAATCTGAAAGAAAAGAAAAATCCGTTTCTTACCTCTTATTCAGCCTCAACCTTTAGTTTATTTCACACAAAGAAAAAAATAAGATAAATCATGGACCAAAAGTACTTCAAGCACAAAGTGACATATTATGTTCTTCCAGTGAATTCCTGTCCAGACAGAAACTCCTGGGCAACACAGTGGAGAGACAGCACTTTTGTTTTGTTTCCTCCTCATGACTCCTCTTTTTGGAGAACACCTCCTCTCCCACCCTCCCTCCCTCCCACCCTCCCTCCCCCCCCCTCCCCCCCCCCCCCCCCCTCCCCCCCCCCCCCTCCTCAACAACATTCACGTTATTTAATAGTTAACTTCACAGAGTCACACACACACACACACATTTTGTTTTTGACAACATTTCGAGTCAGGAAACTGGAGTGATTTAAAACAAAAGTCCAAAGGTTTGAATTCAAAATTCATTCAAATTCTTTCAAAAACCCTCCAGGTCAAATACTGTAGATGTTTTTATATTTATTTGTTTAATATTTACTGCTGTAGAATTCAAATGTTATTTGGAACAAGTGTGAACTCTGTAGTTCTTCCATCTCACCTTCAGCAGGTTGGAGACACACACTGTAATTTATACATGAGCTCGTATGTCAACTGGGGGTGGGCGGGGTCACGTGGGCGGGGTCACGTGGGCGGGGTCAGCATGGAGAGACAGACACTATGGGAGGGAGGATTTCAGGAGACTGGCACAGCATGAGACTGAGATGTCGAGATAACACAGACTCTCTGCACCAATCACATCACACTCTGTCAAAGTACTACAGTACTCCCACTATTCCCAGTACTCCCAGTACAAATACACTGTTCACAGTATCAATCACTGTTATCGACTTACAGAAGAACCAAGTACTTAATCCAAAAACAGTTCCATCCAGGACAACTGGACCAAGTAGGTTTTTGTTTGAAGACGTTTCACCTCTTCATCCAAAAGACTTCTTCACTTCTGACTGACTACTGAGGAGTTCTAGTGTTTGGCCTGAAGGGGGCAGCATACCTAACTTCTAACAAATGTAAAGTCACATTGTGGTTCTTCCTTCCTCCCTCCTTAGAACAGGGTGGGTTTCACCACACCTCCACCCCCCCTTTCTGCAATGACCCTTGTTACAGGTATGCTGCCCCCTTCAGGCTGAACACCAGAACTTCCCAGTAGTCATTCAGAAGTGAAGAAGTCTTTTGGATGAAGAGGTGAAACGTCTAAAAAAAAAAAAACGCCTACATGTGGAACAGGCTCCAACATGGTGAAACACAGCCATGTTCCTTCATCCTCATCCTCATCCTCCTCCTCATCTGGGAGCTGACAGACTGTCCTACTTCACTATCACCACTGAGAGAGGGAGAGGAGGGGGTGGAGGGGGAGTGGGGAGGGAGGAAAGAAGGAGGGGGGGGGTCATTTTCTCAGGTCCAATCCTTGAGGATATTTTTCTGAGGTTTAAGATTCAGTTTGGAGTTAGGGTGTGTGTGTGTGTGTGTGAAGGTTTATCTCTTGTTGACCAATAAGCAGCTTAACTGTCATTGGAGCAGGAGCTGCAGCTCATTTCTATGTTAGAGTGAGTCTGTTGTTGTCCAGAGCCCCAGAGTCTGGAACTGGGACCACAGTACTACCACAGTACTACCACAGTACTATCACAGTACTACCACAGTACTA